GTGTGTGTGTGTGTGTGTGTGTGTGTGTGTGTGTGTGTGATAAAAATTGAAGTAGTAAATACTAGAATAAGCACATATCTTCATTAATAGATAGAACAATATGTATATAAGAAGAAATATTAATACATACTCTGTTACGAAATTGTGACTCGAAGACTTTACATGTGTTAACTACACTCAAGTTTTTCAGCAGAAAGAATGTTCTTTTAAAGTCGGTTATATTCTATAGCCAGAAGCAATGTAACTCTGGGTATAGCTGAAGTCATACTTGAGTATGAATTATACGATAGATATATTTAACTATCAACCTGAAAATATTGTAGTACGCTTGGCACTTAATATGCCTCCTGGCCATACTATTAGGCGGCACACTGTTCTATAACACAATGATCAAGCTGCGCATGGCAAGCCAGCGCTTTGTACACGTATACCAAATAAAGTGCATGTTGATGGGTATCTACAGCAGTGTACTTGAAGATCCTGATTTTATACTGATTCTTACCTTTGTCTATAGGGAATTGTACCATGGACAGGTTGCATCTTTGCATAACGATAAGGCAGAATACCTCACGAGATTTGCTTGGCATGCTGTGGCGACGATCTTGTGGTGCAACTATAGTAAGGACTACAGAATTCTACAGTGTGCACAGTTTTCACCACCTCTCGCCGCAACTGAGATGGTCGCGTTTTGCAACGAAGTCAGTGCCGATTCTCTAGTCACGGTCGTTTGGTTGGCGAAGCTGCTTGGGCATATACCTTGCAGACACCAGAACCACATCTAGATTAGAGATGTGTGACCTGTCTCAATAGCGGGCTTGGGGGTAAAATCACAAACCAACAAGACATAATCGATTAACAAGCACACAAGAGTTAAGACAGAGAACCCAAATAAATAAAAAATTATATATTTTAAAGACCCACATATTTACCATTGGACATAAGCGTTTTTATACTTTTCTTGTTTTTGAAAAAGTTGCAATAATATCTCATGTTTTTTTTTGTTTTTTTAACAAAAAGAGATAAAAGTGTTGTTAGAAAAAGTTTTTTTAAATATTTGACCTGAAAGCCTACGCATCTCTAGATAAACGTAAACCGGTTTTAATTTTGAATTGTAAACGTTCATCGTATAGACGAGGTTTCGGGCGGCATATTCGTATTTATACAAAAAAAAAGCCCCCTCTGAAGGCTTTCAATTGGTCAGTAATTGGTCGTATTTTTCATTTGGCCAGCAAGTTGTCGCATTAAAAAAATACAACGACATGGTTCTATCAGGTTCTGTATTTATCTCAGTTTCTGCCGGTGGTTAATCGTATACTTTTTCTGGTTTTTTAATAATAAAAATAGAGATTTTCCAAATTTACCATGGGGGCCAGGAAAACGATTTTTAAAATATCTAATCAAGAGAACAAATCTAATTATCCGACTGTTATCTGATTTTCTGACTATGTATCTGATTTTCTGAATGATCTCGGAGACTCGAAAGTCCTTCGTCTCAGTCACTCAAAGACGACACTTATGAGTCATGACTCAGTGACTGCTGATCCGAGTGTTTGTTGTCCATGTTGGGGTGATTGTCTGCTCGATTACTATTTATTATATAGTTTTTTAAACCCTTTTGAGATCTAAAACGTACTGTACATCTACATCCATTTGGCATACTTGATTAGCAGTTAATGTAGTAACCGGATAAGGATCGAAAAGAAGTGTTAGTTGGGTGTGGAGAAGTATTGCTACAAAATGGTAGCACTTGGATGCAGACACTTCGATGAATCTCCATTCTAAATTACTACCAATTTTTTTTTATCTACGTAGATCAGATAAACTTAATCCAACAAAACCATCGCCTTCTAAACCATCGCCTTCAGGCTGGTATGTGAACATATGCCCTAGGTGAATATTTAGGACCAGACCAGAGGATCTAACCTGTGTGAGGAGTTTGGAAACATACCGCAGAACCAGATCTAGGTGATTATTGGAGGACCGACCAGAGGATAACAAAACCGATAAGTGGAAACATAGATAATTGAATGAGATAGTAGTGATGGCTAATCCGGAATCATTTAACAGATATTCTCGTTCTACATAGGATCATGATTGATAAATAAAGCAGCCGGTGATACACCGCGCCATTCCTAATGGCACTTCTGACTACATTAATTTTTTTTCGTCTTACCACTCTTTACTGAGCCTTGTTACTCGGGTTTGACTACAAGCACTATTGCCCAGTGAGCAATGTCTCAAAGGTGGTGATCCAAGAGTGGAAGTTGTAAGATTCGGTCTAATAAAGGCGATACTAATGCCTTAGAATAAATAAACGCGTAGGTAAATTCTAAGTATCGTGTAAAAATAACAAAGTAAATAAACGAAATGTGACTTTTTAGTAAAGTTAGGTATGCCTCGTGAAAACAGCAATACTCTGAGGGATTGTGAGGCTGAGACATTACCTAAATAAAATCCTCTCAGTACTGTTTCCGCCGAATGGATTTTATTTAGTGTTTCGTTGTCGATCTATTAGAAACTATAGTATGTTTCATCGGGGCGAATCCGAGAGACTCATAAAATCCTATCTTTAGAAGAAGAAAAATGAAAAATAAAATACTCTTGATGTCCTTAGTTATTGTCTTAACCAATAATATGCCACTTATCAAGAATTACCGACTTAGCCTTCATCAGACTGGCACATCTGGTTGGGGCTGATCGGAGGATCAACTAGATAACGTTAATAGTCCCTAGAAACCTATATTCGGTTGAGCCATCACGACAGCTTCAACCGTTGATTGGAGCCTACACCAATCCGGCTCTGTGCTATGATTGTAACAAATACGTACATGTTCACATTGCTCGACTATCGCACTGACGGCTGTCTCTTCCCTGTCTGCCCCGGTGGCCAAAAATTCACCACCAGCCACTTTGCCTGCATCCAGCAACTGATCCAATGCATCCTGGTAGGCCCAAACCTGCTTTTCATTGGCCCTGAACTCCTCCAGCAACTACAAGAGCGCCACGACGTTCATGGTATCTGGACCCTTCCACGAACGCCTTGGATCTTTTCTCCAGCATGTAGAACAACCCCTGTACCCACACCCGTCTCTGACATATCAACAGATGTTTTCTATACCCCGGCTAATCACGCTGTTGAAGTACTACTTCCAAATTTCGGTCCAAACCAATTCATCACGCCTGTTGGTTCCGCTTATGATACTTCCAATACAGGCAAACCAGCACATACCGAGTGCATCCGTGGTCTGGTGCGGCATTGGTTCACCCCCAACCTCGCTCCTCAACCGAATTATGACGGATAACCTGATCCTACTTGGCATTTCGTACTCTGCACTAACCCATTCCACAGCACTACACGATAAAGACCCGATCCGAACCACAGAGGTGGGTATGTTATTTAGTAGGTCAGAAAGCGAATACGTGGCACACTCGATGGTGTCAGTTTTTTGTCAGCACCGACCTGAATTGACCCAGCGCATATACTCCATTGTCGACTCACTTGGTCTAAGCTTAACAGGGAATTTACTGTCCACTTCCTCCCATCGATCTTCCCCGAACCACTACAACGGCTATGAGAGCCACACCATATGTAAAAACATTGTAACTTATCTCCTTTGAAATAAATAATATTATCCCTACCAAAGTATTCAGATACAAATAAAGTTGGAAAGTAAATATAGTTCTATTAATAGAACTAGACCAACTCTTATGTTTGGTATTTTACTGAGGCCTTTTAATGGCCTTGTCCAAATATCTGATATGTAAAAGGGAAAGGTATTAATTAATAAAACCATTAAAAACCATTTTCGGAAACTTAAGTTCCTCGTGCTATTAAGAGTACATTTAGGAAACCTATGTTCCTCGTACTATTAAGAGTACATTTAGGAAACTTAAGTTCCTCGTACTATTAAGAGTACGTTTATAATTTACGTACTGCTTAAGAGTACGTTTATAACATAGAGTCTAATGTGGAGGCCCGGCTTATTACAAAGTGTCAGAGAAGTACATTCAGGAGCAGACCGTGCGATAGGAGTGTTTGTTCAGCCATTTTACTAATTCGATTAGCTCCCACCACCGCAGAATTATAATAATTGACCCCGAACTCGCGACCTTTGGTACTAGGTTGGTTGGTTCAGTCATTCTCTTTAAAAATGACTACAAATCGGAAATGCCGCGGTTCGAATTTTGGTTGTCTTTGGTAAAAATTGTGAAGGGAGGCAATCAAATGAATGGGATCAGTGTGAGATTTAGGTGCAGAGAAGTCCAAATATAATAGCTTCAAATTGTTCATCGAAGTGTTAAAGTGTTCTGCAAACTCAGAGAGAGACTCTTTCTCTCTAATAAATACATACCCTCTCAGACTCAGAGAGAGACTCAAGGGTTTTTATATTGACCATATGAGTTTTTACCATTACCAGCTCAAGCGGCTAAACACAACACTAGCACAAATACCTCGGATATTAAACCAAAAGGTGAGATCAAAAATGAATAGAAAACAATAATAACTTATCAGGTCACTGATAATACGCTTATCGCATAATGCCTTTTCGGATAAGTTGTAACTCACATAGGAACGCAGTTAATTTTAGAATGTTGCGGTTGACAGACTTAATCCACTCTCAGGAGTCGGTCGAGAAACTTAATCTGATTCTCGGGAGAAATTTAAGCAACTTGAATGGCTCTCGAGAGTGAGCAAACTCTGATAACATCATACCATATATATTTATCCTCTACCTAGCCCCTAGAGACTACATAAATAAATACATCGAGGATCATACCATATATATTTATCGTCTACCTAGCCCAATAAATCTAAGAGGTGTTTTTTTTTTTGCTGTAAATTCAGGTCTAAGACCTGTAATCTCTCAATCATAAGTGGCAGAAACACTATGTATCACCATCGTAAATTGTCAGTAAGGTTGAGGTCATCTTCTGTAGTCTCAGCTAATATGTGCGACATAAGTACCAACACCAGCCCGTCTCACATTGTTCTCAACATGTGTGTGCGTTGTTTTTATTATTATTTGTGTGCAAAGTGCACTCAGGTAATAGTTCGGTACTCAAGGCCAGGCGCTTTGCAGTTAAACAAAATGAATACATAACTATTCAATTTTAGTTAGCTTAGCCTGTAAAGAACGTAATATCACAAATACAGTAGTTCGGTCACTTAAAATGTGGTCAAAACCGAGTGACGCTCAATAAGAACTCGGGCCAAATGTGCCATTGGGAATAGCGCGGCTGCTATATTTATTAATCACGATCATATGTGGAACGAGACTTTCACTACCATCGGGTGATCTGAAAATACCCGAATCTATGGTTCCGAATGAAAGTCATCATTTCTATCTCACTAGATTCTCTATTTCACTATTCGGTCCGAACCTTTGGTCCGGTCTTAAAAAAATCTACTATGTTCGGTTCTCTAGTCCCATCCTAAACTCCTCACTCAGGTCCGGTCCTTTGGTCCGGTCCTAGATATCCGCCCAAGGCACCTAGGAAAAGGACTAATCAACAGAGTATATAAGATACTATACTCTGTACTTGGAAACAATACGAAGCATTGCACTTTTAAAAGTGAAAAGTCGTTAGCCTAAGTACAAGCATAGACTAGTATTTTTCACGAATAGGGTGACTATATTAACAGGATGTTGAGAAGCTCGTACACTGTGCGTGAACCATATTCTTACTGTATAGGTCCTTTAAACTGTTCCTGACGAAAATTCAGAAACATGTAGAAATTGTATTTGTAGTCAGCCGGTGAAATCAAGGACTAATGAGAATAGAAATTGGCCTTCATCGATTTTCACATATTCAAATATATGTTTTGTATTTTTCTCTTAAAATCCGAAGCGTTCTGACATCACTTTGATGGCTTACAAAGCCTGAGTATTAGGTATGACTCATATACTTGACTCTAATTGAGACAATAGTAGGTATATGAAATTTTATACTAAGTTATATTAATTCTGAACGGCAATTAAAACGGGTTTTGCCCTCCCGCCAAACTCCAGAATCTAAAAAGTGTTTTTACCATTATCAAATAACATTTCTTCACATGGAACTTTATTTATAATAACTAATGTATTAACCACACATATGTGGCTCACATACCAGAACTCAATAACCAGAACAAGAATATGTAGCAATCTTAAGATTTTGTTACAAAACTCAATAAATCGTTATTTTTGCAATTCCAGAACCCAATAACCAGAATGAAAATATGTAGCAATCTTATGTAAAATAAATAGTGATCAGTATTTTCAGGAACTCTGAAAAGTATACACTTCTCGTATCAAAAGATTGTATGGTATGATGTTGTGTACTATTGTCCCAAATATTTTTGTGCATAGTATGCAAGTCATACTAAGTTTGTAAATCGTATGATTTTCACTTTTAGAGACAAAGGAATCTTAGGCTATTTAGAATAAGTGGTAATGCAATAGTCTTCAAATACACTGAAAGACAGACAACTAAAGATAGTACAGGTCTCAGACCAGATTTAGTATAATAGAAACCAATAGAGTTAGCTTGCTCATGATAATTTCTTAACCTATAGCTTGCAGAAGGATCTGTGTGGTCCAGGAAGGATAATCGATGATGCAAATAGGAAGTGTATCGCATTGAATTGTATTGAGTATGTGAAATTGAAATTGTGTCTAATACAGCCTGACCTTTATTCAGTAAACCATTGCGTAGGCGACCATGACCTTAGTAAATTGACTCTTTCACTTTGACAAGTTGACCGTTCATTATCAATATAAAATCTGTGATTGTTTGAAGAACTCCAAATGAAAAAAAAACCCCTAATTTAAGGCGGTGAAACTGATTTTCGAATCCTTCACTAATTTTACGACGGATGGTAGCACTTTCCCCACTTATTTCTATCTTAGATTATGGGATGTGTAATTTGTAGGCAGTAGAAATTCATTTATACCATTGAAGTAGGATCTGAGTTTTAGATTGAAATTCAAACAATCGAGAATTTGAGATTCTTGACTGTAGCAATTTCTCCCTGCTGCGGAACGTCTGGCAAAGCATAGTCGCCAATGTGAAATTGAACGAGCGATTTTTTTCTCGATATAGGCAGAATGACAATAGTGACTACCGTTAAATATACAAATGACAAAAACATCTGTGTATAGTTGAGTATAATATTTTGTATTTCGCAATTGGTTCAGATGGGATCATAAATACATGCAAACAATACATCCAGGGTACGCAGTACACTTTCCATACTGCATACATTTTCCTCTTGCTCATTAAAACGATGAGCAAAGCAACCACTCCGAAATTATTTTGGACAAGAAAGAGCCTTGATTAAATCGACACATGGCTTGCTAAAATTTATTTGCCTGCCGATGGACGTACACTATTCTACTCTCGGCACAGGGCACTCCATTACAAATAGGGCCCCCAGCCCACGTACATCCGCGATAAGTTGTCCACAGATGTGGCTTCTCCAATGAGATAGGTCACCTCCCCTTCCACTGACATTGGCAATCCCGAGTGCGACTGTATTGTTTTTGGACACAAGAGAAAAGAGACAGACACTATGAGTTTACCTATACTGCTGGAGAACGACTGCACTAAGCACCAGGAATGTATACTTTAACCTCGGGAATAAGACTGAAAGTGAAGCAAGTGCAAATGCAATGAGCCGAACGCCCGGTAGGAACACCTGTTCATAGCAGGCGATGAGTAAGTTTGCATGCATCTTACGCCCTATCTGTGATTGTACTATACATTTGCATTTTGATACAGAATGGGCAAGTTCTGTGATTGTACTGTTCATATTTTGACACGGATGAGCAAGTTATATATTTCCGGTGTATAGTCGTAGATTAATACATGAAGGGCAAGCTCTGTGATTGTACTGTATAGTTGCGTTTTGGTACAAGATGAACAAGTTCAGTGTATGTACCCAATTATGCACACAAGTGCGCCGTAAGATTTCAGCTCATGTGATGAAGCATATATAGAAGGGCAGCCAATGGTATCATACGTTTGTGAATGTGCATATATATGCCGGTATGCAGGTATGTGTATGTATGTATATCATTAAGTGTATATGTGCATATGTATGCAGGTATGTGTGCTACGCATTCAAATAAACTATGTCCACACGAATAAAAACACATAAATGTACTCAGGCCCAGCCCAAAATCAAGCAACGAAACAAAAACGAGAACAACGATATGTTACCAGATATCAGAGCCACTAGTAGTCGCATTCGCCCATACCTGGCTATGCATATGTGGCACCGATATATGCATGAATACAGACTTCAGCCACCCATCACGTACGGACGCTTGCTATATGCAATAACTATTGGTCTCTAAAGCACTATTCCGTTCATCAAACCAATCCAGCTAAGCATACATGATACACTCATCGCCCTCAACAGTCCTATATACATCACTTGTGCAATTCGTTCCCTGACATACAGATCCGTTGAGCCTCGTGCGCACTTCGTTGACCGTCTTAATGGTGTTTGTCTTGCTTTTGAAGGTAGAATCCGCTACCGGATCATGTATAAACGGAGTCAACACACTCATCAGGGTGTCGATTTCCTTACGCATAACACTCAGCGTCCGTTCACAGCTCGCCCGGAAGAGCCCTAGGTGAGTGAATAGGATGGATTAGAAATAATAAAAGATGTGGTGTAATACATACATACATGATACAGCACAGGGAGAGCCGTAGGTGAGTGAATAGGATGGATTTTGAATAAATAAAAGATGTGGTGTAAGACATACATGACGATCACAGACGGGAAGAAAGACTGATGTACAGTAGCAAATGGGGTTCATTATATTTATTTATGAATGTCTGTGGTTTGCATCTGCAGTGAGACGGTACTATAGCGCGTGGGCCGTGGAGGGTCGTATACTATCTTTCGCTCACATACCCATCAGGATTACTATGAAGGTTTATGTACATAGAGATCGTAAACGCATACGCATACAGGTACGTATTCAGACACACAACCACCAGCCACAACCCCTCACTCTCACCTTGATTAGTGCGAACGTATTGCAAACACCTTAGTGACCCATGCACCCAACCGCAACAATGGAATGTTTGTTCTCACTGCGTACACACATATACACACTCAAACATATACGCATCAGAGCACATGTACTCATACGCATGTCCTCAAAGCGTTCATCACACACACATATCCTCCCATATTTATACACACATATGAAAGCTGCCCTCACTTTTAGAGTTGTACGCTATCAGCGACCCTAAATACATCGACTATGTTGTGTGTGAGGCAGAACGAGACATACACACACGATTTGAATTCTCTCACATAGGGGTACATGAGAAACGGACACAACACCACACATACTTCAACTCCAACAACATACTCTTTCCTTTTGTGCGTAAACGTGTTGATTGCACAGACATTCATAGCCCGTGGGTCCCAATGGATCGATCATGTGTGTACGACAATAGGGAATTGGTACACTTTCCGAACTGCCACACACATACATTGATAGGAAAAGAAATCCACACAGCACCACCCACACCCACACAACACCACCCACACCCACACAACACCACCCACACCCACACAACACCACCCGCACCCACACAACACCACCCGCACCCACTCCAACAACTTTGCACGCACCTTCGTAGCCAGTGAATCTAAATGCGCCGATCATAACGAGTCTGAGTCGAATGTGCACTCCTCGCACGTATATTCGAGCTCATATATACACACTCAGATTCGAATAAATTCTCTCACCGACACCCCATCTCCCCCCCCCCCCCCACATATATATATATATCTTGCAGCACAAACCTTCGTAGCCAGTGAGCCCAAATGCATCGATCATGTTGTGTGTCAGACGGAAAGGTACACGCTCCGGTATCTCGAACAGTTTGCCTGCGTTGAACATGCAGTTGAAGTCCACGTGCACAATCTCGCCCGATTTTGAATCAAACAGAATGTTTTCCCCGTGCCTGTCGGGCGGATATCGGAATGAACAAATGAATGAGTGCTATTCAACCCCTAAACCCCAGCCAAAAACCCTATGAACAAGAACGTTATTCACTGCGGAACCAATACCTATGTCGTATTCTTGGTATGAACCAAGGCTATGATCAGAATTGTACCCGCACACGGCCACAACATACAGCCCACCCCCCGGTATGACCAACCTACAAGCGAGATTGTACGCGTGTGTACAGTAATTTCATATCCCCATCACCAAGCCATGACGCATTCTATAGTGTATACCTCCGCTGTACTTCAGGTTAGGTGGTGCAGGTACCGCCACAACAGACTGCTGACACAAAGCCGAAACACAGCCAAGACACTGCTAACCAGAGCAACTGGCACAGAATAAATATTGAGAAAAGCAGCCGGATTTGATTCTTGAGCAAGGGTTAGGTACCTTCCCACACCCATCTCCGAGTCTCACGATGTTGTCCACAATGAACATGACCAGACGCAGGCGTTCCTGGTAGCTGGCCGTACGGACAAGCTTTGAAGCTAACATGGCTATACTATACTAACGACACGCGACCGTATGATTCTTTTATATTGCCAAAAGACAGCTTTTTCTTATATACAAACCGAGGATAGAGCTATGTTTGGGGGTGCCATCCATACCTTTCTTTAAGTCCCATGATCCACACAACAATGGGCAGCAGCGCTGTGCTGCGCACGCAGAGCTGGCAATACAGGCAAAACACACAGCTGACTCTGCCCACAGTACCACAACATATTACCCAAACCAAGCACATTCACACAATCAAAACAAGATCATAGGTATGTTCTAGGTGAGCATACAGCCAACATAGCGCCGTAGCACAGTACTATCATACACTCATCAACCCGAGACTCAGAGTCTACGCTCGGTTGTCATTCCTACCTATCTCCGAGCCCCATGATATAGCCGACAATGGACATGACTGCTGTGCTGCGCGCATAGGCTGTTTTTGCGGCCACCCAGGAGGTCGGCTCAGGGAACTGCGGAAGGGTTTAGGGGTTTAGAGTTTTAGGATTTTAGGGTTTAAGGTTTCGGGAATCTATAGCTGTTTACACGATATTGCTATATGGAATGCCTGATGTACGGTATGGTCCTGTGTTGGGCTAGTCATATATATGAAATACACGTTGGTTATAGTGGTCTACAAACGTATTAAACGTTTTACGAATATGTGGATATATACGCGCGTGTCGTTGAAATATATACGAGTATGTGTGCATAGGAGTACAATAGGAGCGAGACACCCGAACCGTAAGAAACAGTGATCTGCTTAAGATACAACAGCGGATTGAGTATAGGCGTTCCGTGAATATTCACGGATGGGTCATTGTGCGATGTATATTTTGCAAAGAAACCGTTTGTAGAACGCGGTGAATATTGGCATGATCCTTTATGCAAGCTAGAATATATCCGAACTGCATATGCCACAAGCACAAGGACTCATTGTATTGAGAGGGGGGAAAATGAGGGGTGGGGGTGGGGGTCTGAACAGGCAATTCATTGCTACTAGCCCTATCAAGAACTAACCATGAAAGACCAAGTGTATTCAAACAGACATTCAATACTTGCCCAATCCAGAAACAATTTGTGCAAGAGAAATACAACCCAATCAACAATCCAGACTTACCCGATTCAGAAACCATTTGTAGAACACGGCCGGCCACATTGGCAACATTTGGTTGACGAAAATCGGAACCATTACCTGGTCGGAAAATAAACGAATCAGCTTGTTAAATTCTGAAAACTCCCAACTTTTGGTTGGCGAATTTGGTGAGATACACAGTCCAGACCGACAACTTAGCGTGAAAGTGCTTCTGGTATTGGACCTATAGCATATGACCAGATCTCAATTCAGATTAGGAAGATGAACTCTGTTGACAGTCCTCTCGAAGTGTGAGAGAACAGGCAACGTCTCACCTCATGCCGTAAACCCTATCAAACCCTAAACCCTACACAGCGAAAGCTCAGCTTTTGTACTATCGTCATTATGCGAACTTTAAATACACACTACAACCACCCGGAAGTACTCCCCTCAGAGCAATCGTCTAGTCGGATATTTAAAGCAATCCACTATTGTTACGGCGCTTCTCCGAGTTTCTCTCTCGCACAGTAAGCTTGAAAGTCATGTATGCATATACATGTATATAAATCTATTTTATACAATACATATACATATGTAAAAATCTACTTCGATACTATCCGAACAAACTCCTCAGTGTCTCAATGTCGAGTTTACAGCCTAGAGGTCAGAGTTGTTGAGAGTTCAGAGTTGTTCTATGTAGCGTGGGGTGAAGGTGTGCACTCTCACCATAATCCTACCTTTGGATCGCGCTTCTCCTCCTTAGTCAGTTTGTCGTAGGGTCTCTTAAGGTCTGACATTGATATTCGTCTGCCCATGGTGGCTAAGATCTTCCGGTATGTCTGCAGGAGTCAATAGTCGATCATGCAAGAAATTTAAAAAGATAAGAAAATATGAAATGAAATGTTAGAAGACAAAAAATATTGACATGTATGTGAGATGTGTGTTGCATTTGATTTGCGACATGATAGGCAACGGGTTGTTGGCCAATAATGGCCACAGATAACTGATATGCGATGCGCAGATGTGCGGTGCAACATCCTCGGGACAGAGTGGCAAGAATGTGCGGTTAACAGACCGGAATAAAAAAAACGAAGAGTTGTGTGCTATTAATAGCAATAATCACGTGCGCTAATAATAGCAATACTCACGTGTGCTACTAATAGCAATACTCACGTGTGCTATTAATACCAATATTCACGTGTGCTGATAATAGCAATACTCACGTGTGCTACTAATAGCAATACTCACGTGTGCTACTAATAGCAATACTCATCGTG